TCTTGAAAAATTATCTATAATGATATTTTTCAAAATATATTAATATAAGAATAAAACCTAAATTGTATGTTTTCTCCCTTCTTTTCTCATGGTTTCTCCCTTTGTAGCAAGGCACAAGGACTACATAAAATGGCCTGCTAGGAAAACCTGAGACAACTGGCCAATATCCAAGCCATACAAGAATGTGCCTACACGTGGTTTAATATAGACACCATAGAGAGGGAAGTATTACTTTGTAGCAAATGAAGTTTGTTTTACTGAAAGAGCTGTGGCTGTACTGTGTAAATATTTGACATTCATGTTGTATGAAGCTGACTTCCACTTTACTCCTTTGATCATTATTAAATGACATTTGGAATTGTTGCATTAGACTGACTCAACAGAGTAATTGTCAAGTCTCACAAGAGTGAGACAATAAGCTTCTAAGAAGCCTCACTTCACTGTGTTTAAATATTAGACACATTGCTCTGCTCCCTGCTGGGACTCAAGGGAATGCCAGAACACAGATCACAAGAGGCCATCCTCTAAGGATGCAAAATAGTTGTGTAACAAATAAACTGAGAAAAGCAATTTGAGCTCAAAATTTATCCAGCTTGAAATTCTCTCTGAGTATATTTGAGAGGCATTTACATAAATGACCAAGGAGTAACAAAACACCTTTTGCTCATGACAGATTTTAGGTTAATATACACATATACAGGCATATATATAGTGTTGAACTCAATACAACACTGGAAGATTTTTGTAGGATGTTTTGATTGTAATGTTACATCTAATCAACTCCATTAAAAAGACTCAGATTTATTCAAAATCTTGTTTCTCATTAATTACCCTACTACAACATAACTAAGATTTTTTGAATGCCAGACTAGAAATGGCAACTCTCCATGTTGAGATAAATGGGATTAGTAGAGGATCCAAACAACCCTGGCTTCTGCTCTGCCATTTCTATAAAAGCTGTAAGTAAAATGTTTGGAAACAGAAAGAATTTATGGAGGATTGAAAAGAAAAAAAAAGCCTCTAAACTAAACAAAACAAAACAGGTACCCATCCATGACATGCAATTAGTTCTGTTCCAAGTACTTAATCCTGTGAGAAGGCTCTGAAAATCTTATTGCTCTAAAATAAACAAATTATCTGGTTTATGTATTTGTCATTGTTCAGAAGATGCACAGTGCCATAAAATAGAACAAACACTTCTCCAAGGCAGTTAAATGTTATGCCATCCTGAAAAGTATTAAAATAATCACAACTAAGAGACTGGCTGTCTTGGAATTTTAGGGTTTTTATACCTCCAGTTTGTTGAAGTTGAAAGGCTTCTCACAACAGAGTAAAATGCAAGAAAAAAATTCTGGCAACTGTATTTTTTCCCCTTTATTAATATAACTCTCAGTTTTCTAGCAATTATTATTTATAAGTTTAAGTCAATTATTATCACTGTATTTTTTTTAGCTACCTTTGCTATAATTATGGCATGATGTTATTACAAAATGAAAGTTTATACGAGAATGTAAAATATAACTTGAGTGTCACAGCTTTTCATTTTTAGCACAAAATAAACTATTTATGAGCCACTCATCTTAGCATGAACAGAATTTGAGCTGAAACATTTTGCAACCAATATGCTGACAATGCTGACTACTTCAGTGAGCAGTCTTAACTGACACATATTTTTGGAGGCTATTTAAAAATTTACTACTATGCATTTAATCTCATTTATTGGGTTGATAAAAAAGCAACCAAACAAACCAAAAACCCCAAACCAACAAAAGTTCATACCACAGAAATAAAATCCCAAAATAATAAAAAAAAACCTGGGGGGGAACTGGAATGTGAGATTTGAATTAATGAGATATGAATTAAGAAAACAGGTCCATTTAATGTTATGTTCAAAGTCATGGGAATCAAAACAGTTTAGATTAGGAAAGCAAAAGAATTATCAGATCCATTAAGAAATAAATAAACAGACTGCAGACTTACTAGTGAGAATCGAGCTGTTTATAGGAGCACACAAAAGTCCTGAGCACCTGCTACTAACCCAGCCTCCCAATCATGGATAGAAAAATCAAGGTGAAGAAAACCAAACAAAACAAAGCATTTTTTCTAGTACCAGCTTTAGAACAACCATGGCTGTGAGCTGACTGAGATAGAGAGACAAAGAAAACTTATTTCCCAAGAACAACCCAGATGGAAATGTCCTCACAAAACACTAGACAGTAAATAAAATGATATTTAAAGAAAACCAATCTCCTTTTCCTGTAGGCAAGAAAAGTTCATTAACCCACACGTCTAAAATTTTCAAGAATTTTCCTTGTGGCACACCCACACTATCTCCTTCTTATACATGAAGAGCACCCAATAAAATTGTTGTATGGAAAATAAAAGCTGTGAATACCTCCAGGCACATGACAGAAGAATTAGCATGTTTTGTTTTAAACAGAAGTTGTCCTCTCTAAATACAAAGCCTACTCCACAACTGTAAGTCACAGTCTAGCCTTGTTCAAAGATGAATAGTGCCACCAAAAAGCTTACACTTCTTAACTTTCTTTACCCTCAAAATATTTGAGGCTATACCACACTTTAATGTGGAAAAAAAAATCCAGGAGCAGCTTGGTGGGTTTTTATTTCTCAAGACACATTTTGACTTAGCAAAGCTCAGCACTGTGGTTCATGGGCACATGCAGCCCATAACACCCCTGAGACCTGCCTGTGACCCAGGAGCTCAGAACTGATGGCCATAAAAGCCCAGAATGCTGCCTGAAGCACAGAACTGGATTCACATACAAAATTCTCCCTTTTCACACCCTGGTGGCAACAGTTGTGTGCTAGAAGCCATTGCAACACTACATTACCAGTAACTAGTTCAATTTTTCGTGTGTGAAGACAGGACACAAAAATTAGGGCAGGGCTCTTAACAGCTATACTTTTCCATGAAATACAATAAACCAACTACTGTTTGCTAACTCAAGAGATTCTAAACATTATAATTATGTATGTCTTTAGAAGTAATTATTACTGTCAACTTTTAATTCTGCTCAGCAGGTAATGCTAATGTCTCAAAAGCAATTCAATAAAATTAAAAAATAAATTAAAGTAACTAGTTATTCACAATTAATATTCCCTGGCATCATGTAAACAACCTATAGCTCTTCATTGTCTGTTAAGCACATGACTTCATATGTCTTTTCCATTTCTTTTATTTCCATTACATTATTGTACTACAATTCTTTGCAAAACATTGTATAAGCCACACAGAGTACCATTGTACATATTAACAGTTTGAAATGTACTCAATGACACATTTGACTAAATTCTTATGCCTATTTTTAAAACTTTTCAGTTACTGATTTCACACCAGTAATTTTTCTTCCATGATCTAATCAATGTACCAAATAAGATCTAGTAGTTAATATAAAATGTACAGCTGCATGAAGCACGAGTTCACATTGCTGGCCACAGCTTTACATACTTTTCAAAAGCTGTTAGGAGCAATTAGCAGCAATGTTCATAAAACAGAGGACTTTCTCAGAAGTGCACAAGGATGTCTAAGAAACAGGGATAACCAAATGCCACATGAGTAAGGGCACACTGCAGCTGCTGCACTGGGCCACAGCACCAAGAGGTAGAACACACCCACCTGTGTTAAAGTGTGAGGGTCACCTACCCAGAAACACAGGATAGAGAGGGTGCCAGGGTTAGGCAGAGGGAGAATTGTTCTCAATTTCTCTGCTGCCCCCAAACACCTAACTGGATCTAGAAGCTTGTGTTCAACAGACACACCAGGGGTATTCCCATTTAAGAGTTTAAGGATAAATGAGAACTAGGTAAAATCAGAAATATCCTACAAAAGTGAAAGCAAATTCACTAATGTGAATATTAGGAAGTAATTCTAAGATACTCAAAGATTTTTCTTTCTTCTTTTAAGGGACCTTTTGACTCTTTCATTCTTTTCCTGATTTGTGCATTTATTTCTTGCCCTACCCTCTCATCGTTTTTGATGGGAGGAAAAAGAAACAAAATTTTCTTCTTCCCTCCTATCCTGCTATCCATTTTTCCTGCTAGCACCTATGCATACTGGTACATCATAGCTTTTAGACAGAATTCCCAAGAAATTTCATTAGGTATCTCTCTGCCAAAATTTGTGATGTATTTAGACCAAAACTTTGCAAGCCCTGCAACATCACTGCAGAAGTCTTATTCCAATATTGAGCGAGGTAACAAACAACTGTCAAGTCTATTATTATGTTAGCATAAATGGTAAGACTTTTTTAAAAAGTTTTTTGCTTTGAAAAAAAATTTTACTTGTTTGTTAAAGTAAACTCACTGAGATAAGTCAAACTTAAGTACACAAATACACAAAACACTCTCCCGTAAGTGTCCTTAATATAATGCAGTCTCATCAGTAGTTTTTTTCCCTGGAATTTGGAATTCAGAGATTTATTGGTTCCCACACACAGCTATTGTTAAAAGATCTTCAAAGGGCCTGTTTACTAAAATGAGTGCCAATTTTGTTTTCAGTTGCACTCAAATTGCCTGCAGTATGGGGCAACAATGCTAAGTCAAAGAGGGCCTTTATCAGCTGCAGTTTGAAGTACTGTAAACAAATTTATAAAAAGCACCAGAAGGTTTACACCATGCTGTCAGCATTTCTTCTTCTGACCACACAACTCAGAATATGCAACTAAAGCTTACAATATTTAAAAAAGCATCAGTATCCTATGGCAACAATATAAAAGGTTAACATACATTATCAATCTGTCCTAAAGAGTTTCAAACCATGCTTCCTCACACTAGGTATGGACCTAAGAAGCTGCCTATAACTGGGTAGAGCATCCACTAGTGATTTAAGATGAAGTCTGAAGTTCCTCTAATCCTAAATGTGTTTAAATTAAAAAGCTTTGTTGCAGACTCCTAGGAGGTCGGGATTTCATCACTTCCTTCTCATATTGAAATCTACATCATGGTCACCCTTGAAGGTGTTAATTTGGTTTCAAGAATAAGTTCTTTTTATTTAAATACTTTATAGCAACTTCTGAATGTACTTTGGGAGTAATCTCAGTTTGGGAGAAGTTCAATTTCCAAAACAATCTCAACTTCCAACGTGTTTCCGACACATGACTGTTTCTGCAGATGGGGTGCATCAGGGAAGAGTGATAAATACATGAGAGTTTATACTCAGAAGGTACCATTCATTATTCTTTAGAAGGCACTGCATAAGGACAATGAAGATGAGACACATGTAACAATAAAGTTGAGGCACATTTATCAGTTAAAAACCAAGATTCTGTATCTGTTAAGGTCCCCCAAAAATGTATGAGGATCAATAATCACCTCTAACTGGTGTCACCTAAACTGGTTAAGACAGCCAAGTATTCAATAATTGCATTTATAAAGAAATCTATCATTATGGGCATAACAGTACACCCTGTCTTAGTGTAAAAATGCATCCAACTTCTTTTTGATATGTTCAAAAGCATCTTTCCCCATGTAGTCCATGCGCCCTTCCTCCCACTTTCTCCGCTCATCTTCTGGAGTTGGTTTTGCTGGTTTGAAGTGAATAGACAGCTCTGAAACAAAATGTGCAACCTCATTCTGTGGAAAGAAGAAGAGTGGGAAAACAGTCATCTGGTTTTTCTTATTTCAATACTGTGATGCTAAACCTTAAATGGTAAACTTCTGCTGTACACTCCCAGTTAAAACAATGAAATAAACAATATTCAAATGTTCACTCCTGTTTTGATAATGTGACCTCATTTTCCTATGGTTTTACTACTTTTTATGGCATCTTTGAACATACCAAACATTTATTTTACTGATCTTAACTCAGATCTTGGCATACTTGGCAACAATACAATGACAATATTATAAATACTGCCTGGTTAGAATAGAATATCTAATACAAGGAAGAATTTATAATTTATCTGTTCAAATCTTGTCTCCAACAAGCTTTCATGTGAACATACATTTCTAGAATTTTTGGTAATTAGTTTTATTTGAACTCCAGTGAAATCAATATTATTTAGCAGATGTGAGGCACATTGTTTAATAAATTAATTCAAAATATGGATACTATTCATTATACCAACAGCTAGTGCATTTTGAATGACACTCCAAAATTGTAAACACTGGTTCAAAGTCAAGTCATCATAGGTTCAGAAATGCAAAACATATTATTAGTGATAATTTCTACCATGTAAAAGGAAAACTGTGTCCCCAGCTGACCAATGCCAGCAAAAAAGCAGCATCCCAACAATTATAACCTGTAATAAAGATGAAATATAACAAGAACCAATCAAGGCAGCCACTAAAAACCTTCTTTCAGTAGTAATCAAAGAGGGTCACAGGAAAACAACCCATCTCATGTTGTAAACAAAACTGAAATCAACAAGAACGGCTTTCTAGAGAAGTCTTCACAAATTCAAGGTAAAAATGTTTCAAAATAGAATTTAATGGGCAGGAATCAATGTCTTAAACTGCCTAAATGCCCTGGAATATCCATTGCATCTGCCAGTCTGGGGCAGATAAAGCATAGGACTTGTGGAAGGCAAGGTAAGGTATTTCACACAACCAACATGCAGTAAGGTGTCAAGATTACTTTATCATTGGCAAGTTTTATAAACAGCTGTGGAAGCCCTTAAGAAGATGACCAGAATCATAATGTTTTTATAAATTAAGAATTTTACCTAGGGCCCAAACACTCCTGGCTGCTTTTGTTTCTCAGTCTTTAAGTATTTCACTACAGTGCTTCACAATTGCACCAAAACCCTGATTGGGAAAACAGCTGTGTGGTGAACCTTACAAATCCTTGACACCTTGTCAACCCCATCCACACCAAGTCTGCCTCTGTTGTCACACTGCCCACATGTACAAGTGTCCATAAATGCAGTGCAAGTCCACAAAGGAAAGCCTGGTCACTCAGGCTCCTGCACATTCCCTTTCCACTTGCTTGGAAACATCACTTCAGCAGGTAAAAACCCACAACAAAACAAAATATAAAAGAACTAACTAACACAAAATACCCAAACAGCTTTGCTTGTGTTAGTATTGGAGAACTAAAATTAACACCATGCATTGATTACTCAGGGGTTAGCACAGGAAAATACACATTTAAACCTCAAAGTTTTGAAAAGAGAACTAGAAAGGGATCACAACACAGTATTGGAAACAGTTAAGGAATAACATGGCTAAAAGATTAAGGAATTTATTTGCACATTGCATTGTAATTAGTTGAGCTTTCCTAAAATTATGTTGGCAGCAAAGATGCACATGCAGTTATCAATAGATGTTGAATGCACAAAGCTACATGTACCATTTCTGAGGTTTCCTGAAGTGCAGGTTGCAATGCAGGTTGTTCTGAAGGTCTGTCAGGCTCAGAGGGACAGATGTTAGAATCTCTTGGTTCGACTTCATGTACAGGTTGCTAAAATACAGCCAGTGAGGTTTTATTAGGGGAATATATTCTCACAATTTCCTTTTCACAAGAATTTGTACAATACAATACAACTACTTTCAGTCTTGGGGGAGGGTAAAGCAATGGATGGGAGGAAAGCAAAGAAGCACATTATCACCAAGGAAAAAATTCATGTCACCCAGCTTTAGTATCAAAAATGGCATTGAATCAAAGTTCCTACTACAATCCATCTAGGAAAGTACCTCCAGAGGGCAGCTCATCTCATCCTAAAACAGGTTCAAAGTGGCTGTCATTTTTCAGTGACTACACATACAGCCTGGGAAACAAGCTTACCATTCATGAGGCCAAACTTCAACAAGAAAAATCTCATTTCAGGATTATAGCTTGCTCTCACATAAACTTTTTATATGTATGAAATAACAGAACAAAGTATTTCAAAACAGAGGTAAAATAGATTGCCCAAAAAATATTGTCCCAAATATTTGCTTTTGACAAATAGCAAAACATAAATGAGTAGACAGATCCCATTCTAAAGTCTTTTCCCCTAAAACAATTTCACAAGTATATTGAAGCTGGGCAACAAAAAGTGGAATGATGGTATTCTTAAGTAAGAAGGGAACCAAGCTATTACTTTGCAATTAATATGGTCTTCTGATAAGCTAATCCTAGTAATCAAAATACCAACAGAAATTTAAATTTTAATGAAACTGCTTTAGGTAAAAATTATGATTTTTTTACCCCAAACAAACATCTTGATAACGTGTCCCTATTTAGTTTGAGCCTTTCCAATGAAATCAAATGCATAAGGCACACAAGAAAATACATCCTTTGCAAATAAATTATTCTTAAGTTATGGAACCGTAAGGTTTGCGATTTTCCTTCAGCTCCTTCACACTCGGAGGGGAAAGGGAAGAAGGGGAGGACGAGGGCGAATGGGAAAGGAAAATTACAGTTTTACTTTATAGAGTAACTACAGGCTAAAGAAATGAAGGGAAGAACATCTTGGAAGTTGTCTTCATCATTCTAGAGTGGAGTTCACAAATTACAATGCAGATGACATTAGAACACTAATTTTTATTTTCTCCCAGTTGTACCATGGGGTAATACGGTATATCACGCAATATGTAATGACTTACACCTGCAGAGGCATTGTGCTTACTATGTCCAACTTAATTCCTGCATAAAATAAGGAGATTCAGTGCAACAGAAACACACAAATACAAGAAATGTGACAAAAGAAGCAGAAAGACTGCAATATTCATTAGTGGATTTTTTTCAAGGCTCTCCTTGTTGCTCAAGTCACAGAAATTTGAGAAACAGTTTTCTGGCCCAACACTTGTGGGAAAAAACTTTCTACAGAAGAATGATAGAAAGGATTCTAGTTTTAAATATATTGATTCACAAAAGCATTAATATTCAAAATATTACTTTGGTAGCAGATTTTTTTATATTACATTTAATTATGTACTTAACAACTTTGAATAAACAACCTCTTCCTAAAATGCAAAGCAAACTCTTTCAACTTCCAGACACATCATACACGCATAACTAAAGATTAAAGAAAATAAATAGGCTTTAGATTATTTTTAATGCTAGTGAGAAAATTCAATAGCTACAGCCAAATTGAAGATATGATCTTCCAAATCAGAAAGCATCTCCTTTTAGTATATAATTTGACTTTGTTTCTGCATATAATAATAACAAACAACACACTCACAGCTTTGAAGGCGAGTTCCTCGGGTGAGTATGCTGTGGGATTTACTTCACTTGTCTGCTCTGGGAGCTCAGGCTTTTGTAGAGAACTGGCCACATAAGGACTGACCTTCTTCAGGGTAACTTCAACTCCATTGAAAGCGTGCTAATGAAAACAAGAAAATCTCACCACTGAAATACAACTTTTCAGGATGGGAATAATTTATTTACAGGAGTTGCACTTCCTTAGATGGCTCTCATCATTAAAGGAATAACTTAATAAATGTAAAAAAAGTAAATAAATGCAAAAAAAGTATATGGTCCTAGATTTAGAGCATGCTGCAGTTTAGGTTTTTGTTTTTTGCATTCATGAGCATACCAGCATCATGAAGTAAATCTAACAGGTATTTCCACCTTCATTTACCATAGTGGAAATATTTTTTTAATACGCAGTGCCTTAAAAATTAAAGCATGCATCTTAAAGTATAAGATCAAAAACTAACCACTCCTTCCTCTGCTTTCCAATTTGTCATGAGGTTAACAAACCAAATTATTCTCTGGGGCTTTGATGGTAAATATTCAACTGATCTTAAGGGGATTATGCAATTAGTTCAATTATGTTAATAATTTAATATTATAAGGCATTAAGAAAATATTTACATATGCATAAATGGGATCTAATTTGTAATGTCTGGATACAAAATTAAAAATTGTACTTCTACACATTTCTTTATGCTACTGGTTTCTAAGAAATCATCTATTTATAAACAGATTATTTTTATTCTATTCATGAAAAGCATACTGCTGCATATTCTTTGGAAAAAAAAAAGGATAAAGAGATCAATAAATGTTTGATGACATAGAAGTACCGTACATATCATCTTAAATGCAATTAACACTGCTTTTGCAAACCTGATTTATTTGTTATGACCTCATGAAACAAGTTATAATGTAGTACTGAAAAGGTACATTTTATTACAGATCAAGACCTAGTTATATGGTCTGTATCAATTTAGCTACAAGAAAAACAGAAGTCTGTTTGTTTCATGGGCCAGGTTATCTCTTCTCTGGCTAATTTGTATCATATTCTGCACATACATTACCATAAAAACTTTATCAATTAAGAAGATGGCTGCAGGATATCCTGGGAAAGCAGATAATACAAGAAATCCTTCTTAAATGGCTACTTTGGTCACTTCTACTACCAACCCAACAGATAGTAAGTTTTCCCACACATATTGGGATTACACAGCAAGGTTTTGGTAGCAGGGTGATTCCAGGAGTAGCTTCTGTAAGAAGCTGCTAGAAGCTTCCCCCAAACCCAGTGGAGCCAATGACAGCTGGCTCCAAAAAGCCCATCAGTGATGGCGGTAGTGCCTTTGGGATAAGACTTAAGAAGGAGGAGGAAGGAGTTTCCTTGCAACTGGACAACTGCAGACAGAGGAGTGAGAACATGTGTGAGCTACAACCCTGCATGCACTAGGGTCACTGAAGAATTAAGGCGAGGAGGTGCTCCAGGTGCCAGAGCAGAGATAACCCTGCATCCCATGCTGCATCAGGGTGTCCTTCTGCAGCCCATGGAGGTCCCTGGTGGAGCATAGATCCACCTGCACCCCACGGTGGAACCCACACCACAGCAAGTGGATGTCTGAAGGAGGCTGTGACCCCATGGAAAGCCCATGATGGAGCAGGCTCCTGGCAGCACCACTGGACCTATGAAGAGAGGAGCCTGCAGTGGAGTAGGTTTGCTGGCAGGACTTGTGACCCCATGGGGACCCACACTGGGACAGGCAGTCCCTGAGGGACTGCATCTCACAGCTCATGGGATGGATTCATGTTGGAAAAGTCCATGGAGGACTGTCTCCCATGGAAGGGACTCCACAGCTGGAGCAGGGAAGGAGTGTGAGGAATCCCTGAGGTGGAAGGAGCAGCAGAGACAACATGAAATGAACTGACCACAGTCCTCATTCCCCATCCCCGTGTGCCATTGGTGGGGGGGAGTCAGAGAAAACAGGGAGTAAAGTTGAATCCAGGAAGAAGTGAGGGATGGCAGTAGGTGTTCCAAATTTGGGGTTATTTCTCCTTACTCTGACTTGATTGGTAATAAATTTAATTAATTTCCTGAAGTTCAGCCTGTTTCACCTTTGATGATACCTGGTGAGAGATCTCTCCCTGTCCTTATCCAGACTCATGAGTCTTTCCTTATATTTTCTCTCCCCTCCCCTGTCCATCTTAGGAGCAGAGTGATAGAGTGGCTTGGGTGGGCACTTGGAATCAGCCCAACACATCATATAATTTCTTCCTCTACCAATTTTCAGAATTTTTGGTTTAAATTCCAACATATTCCCACTAACTCCTTATCAGTTACCTTGCATTCCTCAGATTCTGATTCTTCCATCTTTTGAAGTTTTTCCAACAAAGGCAATATACTGGCGCTGTATATATTCCACCAGAGGGCAAGGAATGACAGCTGATGAGAAGATCCAGATGTGGTACCATCCTGCATAACTCTCTTTGTTTGAAGGTTGTATTTGTAGTTCCAGGGCTTTGTTGCTCCCAAGAAATGAACAACTTTGGCATCTCTACCAAAACTGTAGAGATCAAATATACAGGTCTATACCTAAAATATTTCTTAGCTTATATTAACTCCTAGAAGAAACATGCTTACTGACAGGTGAGGTAATTTAACATTTTGCAACAGCAACACATTTGAGATTATATGTATTAATATTTTGTTTCTATCTTCCTGGTTTAATTAATCTTGTTTAAAATACAGAAAACAAAAAGTTACATTGCCATTTGCTTCCAGCTGCTAATTCTAGTAGAAAAGTTCATGAAGGAAACTGACAGTCTCATGCAGTACTATTTCCAGTCTTCCTTAATGCTCTAGTCACAAAAAAATACATATTACTCCAAATATTTAATCACCAAAATTGGGTATTACTGATTACTGATATTAAAAATTACTAATAAATACACTAGCCTAAGTTCATCTTCCAATAAGAGTGTATTGTGCAACTGGAACAGAAATTCATGACACCCTAAATCTAACTTGCCTTTTACCAGATAAGATTCTCAATTGCATTGTCTGGAATCATATAATTAGTAGCACAAATTTCATTTCATAGAACTAAGGAACTAAGGAATGGCTCAAAAAAATTCAAGCAATGCCAATTGCTTCTCTAAGAAATTACTTAAGAACAAAGGAACGAGCTTAAAAGAAAACTTATCAGAACCTAATGCCAAAGTAATTACATTTTGTCAAAATGAAAGAAGCTTCTTTGAAAGAACATAAAAGAAAGTGTAGCCAACTCTGGGACTCTCTCTGTGTCCAGACATTCACATTAAATTTAAGCTTCTCTTGCATGGTTTCTACATAAGATCATTTGTGATATTGTAATTTATAATTAACAGAATATGCCATTATTAGTCTCTCTTACAAAAGGATGTTCTTTAACAAACTACAGAGGTTTACAGAAGTGTTGTTACTTACTGATTGAAAGCAGGAACATAGGTGTATACAGAGCTGCTGCTCAAGTTATAGAGGAAAGGCAAGTGTTTGCCAATATCTGCTGTTGCCCAGTTGCTGAAGAAGCTGTTCAACAAGCCTTGATCACCTCCTAAAGAATACATAAAACAGTATTACCATAACATGTGTACACTCAAATTTGTATCAAAATTTGGATGGGAGTGAGACTAGGGACTGAGATTGGTGTGTTCATGGGACTCCAACTTGGACTTGAAAATATGGCCATGTGAGCATGTACAAGTGAATAATACCTGATTCACTCACTGCAAGCTCAGTGTAAATGAAGTCCTATTGTAATATAAGAAGAGAGGAGTAGTGTTTGGTCTCCCTCCGAGCAAAAGACTGAAGATCAGGTGTGTTTCTCTCTCCTAAGCCAGACAGCAAAATTAACCTAGCAAGACTCAGACACAATGTCCCTTCACTGCCCTTTTCTGGGAAGGCCAGTCCAGAGTAAGTCAGCAGGTCTTAAATACAGTCTAAGAAGCAAAGTTCTTGAATTCTTACATAGAGCCCAGAGAACTCCTGCCTTCCTCTATTCTGCCTGATAGCATGGAAACTGTCTGGCATTTCATTCCTTACGCCTTGCCCCTTACCATCAAAGCTGCCGTGCTCAGCAGCAAACTGGAGCAGCAGGTTGTAAGTCTTCAGGGAGGGCTGGAACACAAACACACCACTATTGAAGCAGTCAGGCCAGCCAGAATCAGGAGCTGCAGAAAACTCTTCTCGATCAAACAACTCATCAACGTTGCAAAGTACCTTATGGAAAGTAGGAAAAGAGAAAAAGATGCTAGAGTAAATGTTTGTCTAGAGCAAGAATTGTCAAATTAGTACCAATGGAGTAAATTGAAAGTTTGGCCAAGTACATGGCTTGCAGAGCATAAAAGCAGTGCCATTGTAAAATATGCTAGAGATCAGAACCTCTCTTTTTGATATAATAAGGCAACATTAATTGTGATTCTCCATGATTTCTCTGATAAAATGCAAAGCACGTGAAATTATTTCATGAAGCTGGGAGAACATCCAAAGTCTCTTTAAATATGATACCAAGAAAACACACAATTTCCTACTTTCTTAACTCACCTTTCCATGGTCCATTATTTTTGATAACTACAACAGAACTGAATGAAAATTGGGAATCTAAATCATTTTAGTAAGCAACAGACTGACTAAACGGTAGTAGAAAAACTGTCACTTGCTGCCAGTTTTCTGATACAACTTAAGTTCAGAGATTTGCTTTTCTGTTTTCTTTTAAGCTTCACAAGGAAGTGGGAAAATCAGTCGGGTTAAAGCAGAGATAAAGTTTGTGGAAAGACAGCTGTGCAGTCAGTGAAAGTCAGGACCTCCACCTTTCACAGCCACTGTGAAAAACAGGAGAAATTTTTTTACAAATAAAATTACTTAATTGAATTTTTAAAAAGGACAAGAATTTGCCTTCCTCCTGTAGCATTAGTGTAAAGCAAGAAATCATAAGCCTTCCTCCTCAAGAAGAATAACTTAATTTGGTTTCTAATTCAAATACAATCCTACTAAATTAAAATGTATCCCAGTCTTTCAGAAGCACAAGGGAAGGCTGAAATGATTGTCCTCACCAAACTTATGAACATTTTTATCTCCATACATCTAAAAAATTTAAAAAAAAATAATGTCTGGAATTTCTTTTTTTTTAAATCCTTATTTTAAAACTACCTTCCTGACAGAATAGTTCCAAACAAAAATATGTGAGAGAGATCTATTTTAAACTTCTGTCAGAAGACTGAGTACATAGAGCTTGTGATCTCTTTTGAGGACAGTGCTACTCTCCAAAGTGAATTTATTTTTATGCAGCCAGCACAACTGTGAGAATTGCTAAAATGTGCCAGGATGGAGCTCCTGCGACCTTGTGACCGCCAGCAAATCTGGTCACTTCACAGGCCTGAAGGCTGCCTGGCAAGGAAGCATCCCACAGTCAGAGACAGACACAAATGTTTCCATGGCTCCCTCTCCACTCACCAAAGTGTCTGCATCCATGAAGACACATTTGCTGTAATGAGTAAGAGTCCAACAATGAAGCTTAGTGAAGGTTACACCCAGTTCTGGCCTCTGCATCAGAGCCAAATGGACTGAGTCAGCGCTGTCAAGCACACCCACCTCGATCACCTCATCAAATACGCTGCTGAGGACTGACCTACCAGAGACAGCAGTGGAGAGAAAGAAGGGGATTTAGACAAGTTCATCAGAGTTCACTTCAGGCGTGACAACAGTGACACACAGCATGACATTAATGATGACAATAACCAAAGCTAGATTGATTGCTTATATAAGAAGTCAGAAGTGAAAAGTCTTTGGAAAAAGCATACTGAAGAGGCAGCTATCAGGCCATAAAACATTGTCTTCTCCACTATGGGGGCCAGCACATCTCAAAAGTGAGAGCTGCTGTTTGAAGGAAAAAACAATCCTTATTCTAGTCACTTATTTCCTATGGAAACACCAACAGAAATTAAAGCAGCTTTCATCCTGCACAACTGATTCCAAAGAACAGCACCATACCGTGTTCCCTCTGCATTTTACAAGATGCAACATGCCAGCACACTCATTTGCACCTACTGTGACCAAGTAAACACTGCTTCAAAACTGCACCTTTTATAAGGTGTACTTGCTCACCATATATAGTTCCTCACTATTATGTAGCATCTCAAATGAGACTTTAAGCTAAACATTTTATTTTTCTATGCATGTATTTTATGGGAATTCTATAGGTAACACCAAAGTGGCTAATTTTCCTTCAATGAGCAAGAAAAAAAGTATTTAAAACACAGTTAATTTACTTACACTATGCTATTATATTTAAAGCTAATTTACTTACACTATGCTATTATAATCAAAGAAACATTGCCAATGTCTCACAAACACAGAAAAAGAAAACCTGTTCTGTTCAAAATCTAGGTTTTGGGATCATAAGCTTTTGCCTGATTGATCTTCAAGGAACAGGAACTAACTGGCAAAGAACTAAATGAACAGATTATTAGAAGTTTATTTCAGTGATCTGCTTTCTTCTTTTTTTTTTAATGTTATCCTTGATTTAAAATACATAATATAAACTCTTTTCTTCCCACTCAATGGACATGAAAAGAATTACAGACATAGTATTCACCTATGCATCAAATGGATACAGTATTCCCTCAGGAAGGTTACAGTGGTCTGACAAGGTCCATACTTCAAAAGTCTGTGAAAACAGATTTTTGTGCATCCAGTCATAGCAAAAATATGAAAATTTATTTCTTGAGCCAGATGCATTGCAAATACATTCACATAGCATACAGAAAACAGGAGCTTGCACACTTCCTAAGACGTAGCAGAACTAAGAGTTTAAATTGCTATGGCATGGCATGTCTTTTTGTATCACAGTCCTCCAAATAACAGCGCTTGAGTTCAGATTTAATAAGATTTCTGTAAATGCTGTTCTGCAGTGCCTGTAGAATCACAACAAAAATTGCAATGCTGTTGCTTATTCTTCCACTCTTTAAATCTCCAAATGCTCATTAATACTTACCTCATCCCACTGGAAACCTCTGGAGTAATTAGAACTGCCAATTTTCTGGATGTCCTATGATTCCTCAAGGACTGTCCAAGAACAAGAGCGCCTTGACAGTACACATCATCAGTAGCAAGGGTCACAAAGGCTTGATCTGTTACTGCAAAAAAGTACTCAGAAGAGTCACTTTACAACTTTAATGTAAGCTCTTTTAGCTTGCTCCCTCCTCTTCCAGATAAACAATGGTCTGTGGCTTATAACAACCACACTGTGATTATAACAACCATTCCTGTGATGAGACTCCCCCCAAAAGTCACAATTGAATAGAAAACCCAGTGAATGTTGGTGCAGAATGTATGTTTCTGATTTTTATTATTTTTGTTTGCCTGATTTACACAATAGCAGGTATAAATTTTTTGCACTAGCCTTAAATAGATAATTCCCTAGGCCTTACTGCCAAAACACAATGTCAATCAAAAAAGCTGATCTGTACATATTTAGATTTTATATTTAACAAACATATTATAATACAACCAATAAGGAAAATGTTCTTGTTTATACAGTGCCAAAAGCTAAGGAAAAGAACAAGATGCTGAGTATTAGCCAGAAATGTTCTTTCCATAATGCCATTGAATCAACCCAATCTTATTTTTGCTCTGCCTTCTTTGTGCTGGGGTACCTGGTGCTGGCTGAACAAGTGCAGAGAATTTCCTATCAAGATCAGTACACCTCCCAGGAGCTGAGAATCCCTACCTCAAGTAACTCCAGGGAATTTAGGAGTGTTCCTTATTGTCAGGAAACACATGAGGAAACAAGTTACAATAAAAAAGAAAGCAACCTACACTCCCACATAACAGAGAAAATGTATTTTGTAAAGACACCACTCCCATGGCAGGATCATAAGGGGCTGCTTCTGCAGCTGTGCCCCATGATATTACCACCACTGTCAGAGCTCTTCTGGGGAGGACCTATAACTCAGCAAGGTGAACAACCTCCTTGGAGCAGAAGGATGATACACTCTAGGCTGCAAAATTAACCAGAACAAGATGAGCAGGTCACACAGATGAAGGGAATTCCACTGAGCTCGACTGAAACTTCAATAAGCACTTGTGTTGAAATACTTGTTTAGAACCACCATCATCTTAAGGGACAGGCAATTGCATTAAATAAATTAAAACAACCAAACAATACTAACATAAACAACCTGTCATACAGTTTCCAGGGCCTGTGAGAAACACCAGGAAAGAATCTCACAGAGCTAGATGCAGAGAACTCAACAAATGATCTCATGCCTGCCTCAGCCAGAGGCTGACAAAATGAGTGAGTTCTAGCCCCTAACCATCATCAAGGTATGCAGTAAAGTATGGCTGATGTTCACAATAAGCTAACAGATATTAAGCATTTTTATTTTTCACATCCTCCAAATCCAGAATGAAACACAGGCCTACTGGTGTGCTGCCTTTCCCCCCCCACTTTTTGCCCTTTTTCACTCATCTCCAGCCAGCCATCTTCATCTCAAGCACACATACTTTACATTTGCTGACACTGCCACACATCTCTGCACCTCAGGAGAATCCCAGTAAGTGTGAGACTTGGCCAAAAAAAACCCAAACCATCCAACCAAACTTGAAATAGTTTGCATAGCCCACAGCTGAGCAAACTCCAGTAACATTTCTAATTGCAATTTCCAGACAAAGCAAATGAAGAATTGAACTTTCAAATGTCCCATTATAATAACAGCTCAAGCAAGTTACAGGTGTTCCAGAAATCAGTGAATAAGGAGCTGCTTTAAAACAACAGATGTGAAGTAAACTGCTCCTATAGCAGTTTCCCAGAGGGTTAAAGGAATAAATATAAGCATCCCTAAAAATCAATGTAAACCAGAAAACCGCTGAAAGCTACTTCAGCAAGAAAATTACTCTGAAAAGATGCAAAAGATCAGGAAAGCAAAGCAGTTTTGTGTTAGGCAACAAGCATCTTCAGCCAAAGAAAGGTAATAAAACAACTCCTGAGAGGAATGTGGGAGTTAGGTTAATATAAAAAAAAAAAACAAATTGTGAAATGAGTGGGAGTTCCTATCTTAAAATACTGTTTTAAAACCAACCACAAAACTGAACACAATCTTCACATGGCTTTTGCAAATTCTTTTGGCTACAGAAGCTGAATCTTTACTTAAGTAATACATAGAAAAATACACAAACTACTCATTAAATGGTTCAGCAAATTGGTATGGAAAATTACCATCTCCTCCAAATGCTTTTGTGCCCTGTCCCTGTGTGGTCATAACCCCAAGAAAGCAAACTGCCAAACAACTGCTGCTTCTAAGAAACTCTTGCTGATCCCTCACAAAGAACAGAAGCTGCCTGTTTTGAGAATCAGATGTAGGATACCTGTTACAGCCTTCTTAATACAGTGAACCATCACAGAGATAATTGAATAGATTATCAAACTATTGACTGAAAATATTTAACTTTAAAATATTTCTGGTACTAAGAGAGAAGCAAATCCTAATGATTTTAAAATCATACAGGGGCATCACTAATTCATTAAGGATCCATTGGGGGCTTAATATAAAAATATTTTATCATTTCCTTTCCTTTCATCTAATCCTTGCTTTCAAGAAAGGAGTGTTATTTGTCTTGCTTTGTTTATAAAATTCTTTGGAATATAGCCTAATAAACAAACAGTTTATTTTTATAACTGAAAGTAAGGGTCAGGTTTTCATATACATGTTTGGAAGTAAATGGTTTTCCTGAAAGTTTCCATTTAGCTGATATATTAAATCTACTGTACACAAAGTTTCACTCACTGACTTTAAAAGAGCAAAAATTCTTTAAGTTTGAAAGCCAGAGGCACATATAGTTAAATTCATTGCAACTATTTTTTGGTTTGGTGGTCTTTCTGGTTTTTAGGGTTTTTTAGGGATTTTTTTGGTTGTTTTGTTTGTTTGGTTTGGTTTTTAGTTTGTTTTTTTTAAGTGTCAAGGAGACATTTAGCATAACCTTATTTCTTTGTGCTGAATAAGATTTTTTATGGACAACACCTACTCTTCAGGGTATTAAGTTTTCAGGTAAATTTGTTTTCAAGTTGGAGATTCTTATGGCTAACAAAATACCACTGGCTATCACTGAACTATGAGAAAAGAAAGTGTATTTTTAGAATCCCATTAAAACCCTGTCATATGAATTTATAAATCTGCTCATTTCTCTTGTCTGGATTACCACAAAGCACATGATGATGCAAATTAAGAAATCATTATCATCAGTAGTGGCTCCTCACTTTTATTACCTAACAATACTTTCTTAGAACAAAACAAGGATCTTCAAGGAATTAACTTGCTGAGTTATTCTACAACCTGCTCTGCAGCTACACAAAAGAGACAGCAAAAGTAATGTGAACCACTACAGTCAGGGTGATCTTAGGTGGAACTTGTAACAGCTTTTTTAGCCAAGATCACCAACTTTTTATGCTACTTACTCATAGAAGTAGTACCTCTGACACTGCCAGAGGCAAAATTCTTTTACAGGTGTGGAAACTAATTCTAGGGAACCTAAAGAGCTTTATTTAGAATACCAACAGAGCAAGCAGACAGAGTGGTGCTCACTTTCATGTTCAAAGAGAAAAAGAGGATTAAAAAACACCAGATACCCCTTTTGAGACTCAGGAGTGACTGATAATAGCACGCTCTGAGTGACCCAAGTTCCAACTTCAAGACAAGTTTAAGTAGGGTAGGGAGGTTATTTTCATAATCCATTAGACATAGCTTTTAAATAATATTTTTCTATTTCTTCTGATAGACAGAGGAAGCATAAATTTAGTCTAGCTGTAACTCCTAATGTAACAATTCAAATTTACCAAGCTGCCCACTGCAAAATGGCAACAGGAGACCAGACACTCCTATGTTAGGATTTTTCTGTAAGAACATTCTAAGATGACACATTGTCATCTTATGCATAAAAATAAGAGCAGATAAATCAATAGCTAAAAGCTTCCAACAGGCTGGTTATGTCCCCAGTGCCTCCTGCCATTCCTACTAACCAACACTGTACAACTGCTTTCCTAAATTCCTCCCTGATGCCATCTGTTGCTCTCTTGTCACCTCCCCCCTTCTACTCCAGAGACAATCTGCAGGACTGCAGGCTGCAGCCTCCACCTGTACCACTGAGCCACAGCACCTCTCTGAAATCCCAGGTGACAGTGACACAGCTCCAAATCACAGCATGTTTCCTGACACCAATTCTGTCACTCCCTCTCCTGCACAGGACTCTGTGGATCTTCCCCCAGAAGCACCATGAAGGTGTGTTAGATTGCCAAAAAAGAGAACACAGGCTGTAGGCTTCTCACTTCTCTGGCCTAGCACAGCCATATCCTGGAACAGAAATCTCTGCTCCTCCTGACACCCACAACCTTATAAGCAATCCAGAAGTATTTTGTTATAAGTAGAAAACATGAACAATAGTGTCAGACAATAACCTGAGTCAGAGCCCTATCAAAAATTATTATGCAAGTTTCCAGCAGAGAGGCAATTCTTGCTCTAGTACACAAATGAGAGCTGGCAGTTTTAATTCCCATGCTTTCTTAGATCTAAGAGTAGAAACACTGATGTTACTAATGAATATAAACAACAAACACTTTACAAAGACCTTTTTATAACAGAATTTAAATTGACATTCAGTGGTATACAAAATTTCTCTTGGCCTAATGAAGTTCTGCCTCATCCAAAAACAGATTCTCTCTTATCTTCTATTAAAACACTGCGGAATTTTAGTAGGCAGGATTACTGCTCTTGTGTTGGAAGACCACTTGATTCCAGTTCTTTGTAGCTTTTATTATGTGTCTTTCAGTTAAGAACTGTTGCATTCTACTTCAAGACTCTGCAGTGTTGTTATTCAACAGATGGTAAATGATCCTCATGAAAACTCAAATGCAACAGTATCATAAGATGCAAACAAGCATAATACATAACACCCAAAACAGTAATACACCAGTTTGAAAATTAGTAATAATTGGTAATAATTATTAGAAATAATTACTTAGGCAATCCAGAGGCAGCACAGGGAATTTTATGGTACTTATCAAGTTAGATGTTTCCAGTCTTTCCACACCTTCCCTTCAACCAAGAGAAAAAAAACAAAAAACAAAATAAAAAAAAAAAAAACAAAACAAAACAAAAAAACCAAAAAACTGAAACAAACAAACAAACAAATAAAACCTCAACCAAACAAAATCACAATGCTCTAATCCTTTCATTTGCAGATTCACTTTCTGCATCTTCCCAGCGCTGAAGTGCTACATACATGAATTCAAACTCGGCATCATTCAGTCCACATGACTGACAGCCTTCAAATGGCTCAAGAAACCAAGATCTGTGGGAGCTGCTGCTCTCAAAAATGAGAAGAAAGGAAAAAAGTTGATTATGTTCAAGAGCCAGAACAGCACCTGCAGCTACCCCCTGTGATTACCCTAAAACTAGTACCTCATGGCTTTAAGGATAACTGACTCAGACCAATACCACTGCTGTGTAAGAAGGGGGGTGATAAAGGTTTCTCTGACTCTGCCCTAGACTGGGACAGCCAGCCCCAGCCTGTCACCCTGGGGATCCACCAGGACAGCACGCACAGACCTAAGCAGGCCAAGCTGTACATACAAGCAGAATACATAAATGAGTTCACCTATTTCACCCCATCACCCAGACAGTTAAAATCCTCCCCTGGAGCTGCTCATTACAGCACAGCACTCTGCTGATAAGAAAGCAGCAGGGACCCTCTCCCGCACCGGGATGTGAGAAGGGCAAAGCCCCGGGGGGCTCCAGGCTGCTCTCGATCGTTCCCGAGAGCTGCTCAGGGCAAGCCGGGCGGGGCCCTGCGGGCCGGGGGTACTCACCGGACATGCTGGGCAGGCGGGGGCCGGCTGAGCTGGGCTGGGCAGGGCTCGGACCGGACAGCGGCGCCCACCGCTCCTGCCGCCTCACCTCTGGGCGGGGGGGCCGCTAAACCGCACAATGGGATTAGCCTCCTTCTGCTGGAGGCACCGGCAGGTGAATTACATTCGCAGGGACTCCTGCGCAGCAGCAGAGAAAAGGCATTAGCGGCGGAGAGCATGGCGGGGGGGTTGGTACGATCCACTCCGCCCCCGCTGCGCTCCGGGCGCCGGCTTTGCTGTGAGGGGGGCCCGCTCCCGCCGCCTGCTCCGTGCCCCGCAGCGCCCCGCTCCCGGGAGGGCACGGCCCGGAGCTCGGCCCGGCACTTCGCCCTGGACAGGCACAGCCCAGAGGTCAGCCCGACACGGGCACAGCCCGGCTGGAGCTCGGCCGGCTCCGCAGCCCGACACAGGCACAGCCCGGCTGGAGCTTGGCCCGACTCCACAGCCCGACACGGGCTCGGCCCGGATCCGCAGCCCAACACGGGCCCCGCTCCGGGCGCGGCACTCCCACTCCCCGGGATGGGAGAGACCCTCTCTCCCCTTCCTCCAGTTCCCTCCCGTCCCTGCCCCGATGCCCTGGGTGCCCTCCGGGTCTCAGCCGCTGCGACAAAGCCTCCCTGTCACGCACACGCTTCCCGAGAGGAAGGGACACGGGTTGGGGAGACTCCGCCGCGCAGCGCCCAGAGGAAAACACCAACCTCTATGAAGGAGCGTGGAAAAAGGTCTCAGAGCATGAGTACGGTGATTCCAGCGCGGCATGCGGTCACTCAGATACACGGGATTCACCATGAATGAAGGGGGTCTGCCCCTAACTCCCTGGGGCCATCGTATCCCTTACGGATACTCACAGTCTGATCCCTTGTCACCCAGATAAGCAAAGAGATGTTTCCAGTGTCAGGAAGCTCATGCTATTCAGAGGGCTCTAAATATTTTCACAAGTGCGTAAATAAATGCATATTTATTTGCCCCACATGCTTTTGCCACTAGCTTAGAAGTCATGTAACTGTGATGTAATTCAGCCATACTATGTCTCTGCAAAGTAATTCTAGGCTGATGTGGTTTAGCCGAGGCATTTTTATTCCAAAATCTGCCGTGAACATCAGTATATATGTAGTAGAGGTAAACAACTTTCAGGTAATGTGCCACTGAAAAAACTGCCTAGTGGTACCACTCAACTATTTAAAACTTTATTTCCAGCAATTTGCAAGAGAACTCTGTTGCCACTCCAAGCTGCAGCATTTGTTCTCTTACACCCTGGAAGAATCCTAAAGGTCCACTGGAGAAGAGGGTGTCATTGCTCTGTAGTAACGGCAAAGTGTTTGAAGGAAGGAAGGATGGACATAAACACACAGGAAATTGAATTTTATTTATCCCACAGAAACAAAATTCTCAGGGATCTGCATTCACCATTGACTTACGTAGACAAATCAACAAGATAACATAGTTATCAGTACCATGATTACTGTTGTAGATAATTTTACTGGTAGATCTATTTCAGCTGGGGGACTTGAAGGCTAAGAAAAGTTTCTCCTTGGTAATGAAAGTGATGTCTATATTTAGATGATAATCTGTTTTACTTGTGTGCCAGCAACTATTTTTTATGTATGGAATGAATTTTAAGTATCAGAGCCAGTATCACAAGCTAGAGTTCAATGTTCTAACAGCCAATTAACCAACCTTCCTTCCTTCCTTCCTTCCTTCCTTCCTTCCTTCCTTCCTTCCTTCCTTCCTTCCTTCCTTCCTTCCCACTAGAGCTTCCCTACATAACCCCTTAATTACCTGAAACAATAATACTAGAAATAGTTAATGCAATAATTATAAATTTTTTTTACCGTCATCATCATTCTTGTTGAAAGGGAAATTGACACCTAAAAGTGCATCTGCACACTGGTATATTGATATATTGGTATATGCTGACAAATTAGACCAAAGAGCTTCAGATGGTTAAACACTTGGGTAGTCAGGGTTTATCCATTCAGATTTATGGGTTTTGCTCAAATTCTCCATAATAAATCTGGTTTTGGGCTATTAATATTAACACAAGTAATAAATTATTTTGCAAATATTATGAACAATTTAAAATAAGTTGTCATAATATAGCAAAACCAAAAATGTTGCACATAGATCCTTCTCTAGACACTTAGTAAAATTAAAAAAAAAAAAGAGAGAGAAAAGAATAGATAGTTAAGCTGTTTTCATTTTTTTTCCCTGTAATTTTTCTTTAGTTTGAAGCATTTTCTTTTCTCTAGTGGGACATAGTTGAACTTGTATACAGAACATATCAATCCTCATATGTCCCAGAAAGTAGCAAACAAAACAAACAAAACTTGGGTCATCTTAGATGAAACACAGTAGGTGTTTATTGAAAATTTAGAAGAGAAAGAAGCAAAATATATATTTTCATGGTTGAACAAACAACTGAAGTTGTAACACCAAAACACTTGTCATTTCATTAATCAAAACTTTTATGTCTGTCCGACAAAATATACATCAATATGTTTTAACTGTTAGCATAGAAAATTAATATTTAAAAAGAAATATTAGATGTCCTTGAAAGCCATATTAAAAATATTTTCTCATTTATTAGTTGAAAGTGATAGTCAAAAAGGCATTCATTTGTTTGTATATTGTTGAGATGTTTCTATGCTTAACTGATGTACATTATATTTTTTTCATGATCAAAAAAAAAAAGTGGTAGTCTAAGCAAGCTACTGATATATATCCATTGAAAATATAATTCAGATAAATAGTATTTTATTATATGAAAAATTACTTTTTTAGTATATGTCTTCCTCTCAATGATGTAATAAACACAAAATCATATTCACCTCCATATATGTGGAATTGCAGTAACAAAAAACATGCTTTGGATATAAAGTGAAGATAAAACCACACCAATTTCCTTATGCTTTAAATGTCAGTTAAAATGTCTCTATTGCAGAATTATGTCAGTAAACTGCTAGTTTTGCCAACTTTCATCTGTATTTTATTCACTTGCTATTTTTTTTTTGATCCAGTTAGCTAAATGAAGGCAGAGAGACAGAAAGGTGTCAATTTTCATTACAGGTTTGTCTACATGAGGATATTGTTAGCACAGCAAGGTCGTTCAGGAATGAAGGAAAGAAGTGGAACTGTCTAACTAGAAAAACTATGTCAACCACACCTCTACATAATATGAAGCTCAAAAGTCATTGTGACTTAGATTTTAGAGATTGAAGCATCCCAAACTCATTCTAAATGAATCAGAAAAATCTTTGTACCCATTTTCCCTTTTCAGAAGTTATAAATAATATTAAAAAAAATCTTTCTAGATTAGTACCTTCAAAGGTTCCTAGAGTCAGGCCTAAGTTTTCAAAAACAGAAATGAAACTCATGTAAAATTCTAGTTCCTGAGAAGAGCTAAACACCAGTTCAGTAATTAATCAATAAAATAAATAAATAAATAAAATTAGCATGTATTCCTCTCTGTTTTATTTTAAACAGTGGTTTGTCAATATACATAGTCTTTTCAGTATATTATAAAATTAAGAATAAATTTTTTAGCTATAGTTCCTTTCACTTTGCAAAAAATTCAGACATAAACACAAAGTAAAGGCATTCAAATTTTTAATCCTTTAGGCAATTCTTTAAACATAGTAAACATTACATAAATATACTGGAGAAACCCAATAGGTGTGAAAGGAAATGGCAAACTCCTTATTCCTATTCTGCCAGAAGGACTGAGTTTTTTGGCTAATTTCGAAAACAGAAAAAAAATAAAATTGGTGACTCAAATCCTCACAAACCCTCACAAATCCTTTGATTTTTAGTTTATATTAAACTCGATTTCTTTGTTGTTTACAATAACTTCTTAGTCAAAATCTGTATCCAGCGTTTATGAATGCAGGTCAGAGAGTGCAATACAATCCCTGGATGTCTTAAGCATATTTTTGATGACATAAAGCTTGAGATGCAAAAGTGACATCAGGTTAGAGAGAGCAGGATTGCAATGTCTCAAGAAAACATTCGTTAGGGGAAGATTTTCTTCTGTCAGAATGGCAGTGTAGAATGTCACCAACCAAAGGAGCCTGTGATCAGACAGCAACTCTTCTTTCAGTGCTTTACACTGCAGCCCCACCTGAAAAATGAAAATTGAACATTCAGTATTTCCACTGTGGGTGTTCTTTGCCAGCTTTTCTGAGGCTGATCTGGGTGGGCCACCCTGGCTGGTTTCCACACAGAGCCACAATTGCCAGGTACCTCTGTGCAGGCAGAGACAATTGTTTGTCAAGGTCCCATCAACTTCAGCACTAAATCAGTGGAAAACTGTTTGGGCCTTACCACGTGGTTTGAAACAAAGCTTCTTATTCTTGTAAGCGGTGTAGGCTGCTATGGATCCAACAATCAGTATCACAAAAGCAGAAATTACAGGAGATGTAACTCCAGCAATTAAACCTGAATCTGTGGAAAAAGAAAGAGAAGGGTTTTTTTTCAGAGGCTCTTAAATGGTTTGTCTGAAGTATATTGTCTACTAAAGAGTGCCTTTACCAAATTATGAAAATAGTTTGGTGAAACTATAGAATTAAGCAGGTTAATAAAAAATTGTGTTATATTACAGCTGATGTGAAAATTATGTCTCAAAGCCTAATTTATTATATCTGCTATTGTGTAAAGCTAGCATTGTTTTTGTAGGGGGATAGAATATAAGTAAATAAAGGTAGTATAGAAAGTAATCTTACCCCTTAAGGAGTTGCAGCTGGGTTAATTACTAAAGATTAGGAGCAGGCCTAATTTTAACAGGCCACAGCTGTAGCCAATAAGAAGAGTGCTATAAAAGAGTGGATTGGTTGGTTAAGGGGAACTGGAGTCAGTTGGCTGCTGTGAGGACAAGGAAGAGTCAGTGCCTAGAGGAGCTGCCTACAAGAAACATTAAGGAGGTATGAAACTCTAGCAATATGGAGCCCTTGCAATGTAATGACAATAGAACTTTTGCATTATATATGACAACATGTTTTAGTATTTCATAAAGATCAGAAATCAAATGCAGAATAATGTAAATTATTTACTATACCTGTGTTCCCTCCATGATTAAAATGATGCTCCTGATCTCCTGGAATAGAGGGTGAAGCTTCATCAAAGAAATGTTTGTCATCCTGTTTTAAGAACTAAGTCTTTACTCAGCAAAGTGTGATGTACAAAGGGCAAAAGGGGTGCCCCAACAAGACTACAAGAGAGGAGCTCCCCTTCCACTCCCCACTGATGGCTGTGCTGGCCAGAGGAATAACTGCTCATCCTCTTGAAACTTCCTTTTTGGGGAAGAATGTTATAATCTAATAGAAGGACCATCCTTAACAGGCTACATCAAGCTGATTTTACAGGGAGGCCAGTATATCTCTACTGCCAGACAATCAGATCATTTACCAGTAGTTTACGTCAAGATCTTAGTCTGGGTCCATCTATTTCAGCATGCCCCTTGCTTTTGGGCTTTCCTTGCTGAATTCAAAGGGATAAACCTGCAGGCTTCTGACATCCAAAAAGTGTTTTGGAATATGTTTCAAGTTCTAGCTTTAGGCTCAAACCCATAGTTTATCATGAAGGATAACTAATCTAAATGAAAACAGTGCAGTCTGGTCATATACCTTCAGAGACAAACAAATTAACACAAAAGCAAAACCAACCAGCTCCAATTTACAGGTGTTAGGAACACGTTGCAAGGGAAATAGGCAAATGTTACCTGGTGGTAAAGGCTTTCCACCAATCAGATCTGAGTCATCAAAACCTCCTGCAAGATAAAGATTCCAGTTGCAAAATTATATACAATGGTAACCCCTTCAGCTCCCTTGTCCACTCCTTTTGTAGCATTCTAGGGAGAGGTGAGGGACCTCTGAAACCCCAGCTGCAACATGGTGGATGGGTCACATGTCTTGCACTCAACAGTCACCTACCAAAATTCACCTGAAAGCTGAAGTACTGACACAAAGTTGGTGTCTCTGTATTCTGTGTCTGTTTTGTGCACTTGTGGGATATGTGGGTTTGGGCTTCCAGTAACACAAACTCTTATATAATATGGACATCTTGAGTCCCAGTGACCCCTGAAGCAGAGAGTCAGTGGGTCCTTTCCAGGAAGGACTCCAGAAGGACCTGTCCACAGCTCACCACTACAGCCATACCCAAAGCAAGTACAGGTACAGGGTGAAAGCCAGAATAGATATGCCACATTTACTTTATTTAAGCAAGTGTCTGGAACCAAACTCAAAAGCAATACAGGCTGCCCAGCCCCACCTGCTGAATGCCCCAGGGCCATCTCAGATGCACATCTCAAACTGATTTGAGCACAGGTTTATCCCTGCCCTGTGACTGGATGTCAAATTTGAGCCTTTGCATCGTTCAGTGTATACACACCCAAAATGAAAACACGAACAAGATTAAAAGTTAGTCTCATGCCGCTTAATATGCGGTGTCCCACATTTTAAACAAACAAAAACTTTACAGTATCAACATTAACATTCAGAAAAAAAGCTTTCTCATTCCTGGGTCGGAAACAGAGTTTACAAAAGGAAGACGTGGGAAAAGAATGATAAATGCTATTACTAGGGAAATAAGAGATAAATAAAATGAGAGATAAATAAATAGATAAATGCTATTACTAGAGAAATAAAGTATTTAAAATGTCTGCTCTGAGCAGCTGATAGCATTACATTTTCTTGTGAGCAAGTAGTCTTACCGGAATTACCATAACTTCCAGGGCGTGGTGGAAGAGGTGGGTATAAAGGTTTTCTTGAGATGTCACCTATTGATAATTAATATTGTTAGATGATTGAACAGGCAAAACTGGGAACTTTAAATAAAAGCATTTTATACCTATTTCTAATTTGTCCTTCTGTGAATTAATAAAAGGACCTTTTCAGTAGTTAAGAAGATTTAATAAGATTTATTTTAACAAATAGCTAGCTATAAAAACTGACTTGGAAGTGAGTAGGGAATATTTTCTAAACAAGAGAAGAATTCACAAAAAACACAGAGGAAAAATATTTTACGTATATCTGGCAAGTGCTAACATTGATTAAAGCTGACAGCTGGGAGGCACAATGTGTCAGTCACTCTGGGTGTCCGTGGTGCAGTTATTCAGAGCCAACAGAGAAGCTGGTGTTCTAGGCTGGGCAGGAGGCAACAGGTTATCTCATTGCCATCAACAGGTTTTAATAAGGCCTGCAGATTAGTTTCATCTAACAGATGCTAAATTTATCTAATGCATAATCAATTTTCTGCTCTTGAACTGTGCAAAATGATCTCAGACTTCAGCTTTGCTGTTGCTTAGAACTTTGTGCTAGCATTTAGCCTTAATTTTTTGCCAAAGGATTAGCATTTTGCCAAAGGATTTGCATTGGATAGAGCAGGAGATCTGATCACTAAAAACAGTTTTCAAACTGCATATACAATGCTGAAGAGCTCACCCAGGTCAAAGCCTGCCAAATTTAATATCTAGGGTTGCTGCTCTGTGTGTATAGAGTCAGTTTTCTCTTGCCACCCTTTACTCAACCAATTCAACTGTTCTTAAAAATGCCAGACTGTGCATTTTTCTCTGCATAAATCAAAATTAGGTGACAGAAATAAATAGCAATTTCCCTCCCATTCTTTAAATCTTTCACCTTCCAAACATGCCAGATGCCCTTTTGCTATGTTTTCTTCTTGCCTAGCTGCTAAATACAATGCTTCTGTTTCTGAGCACCGTTTAGGTTCTGACCCAGAAAATTATTTAGGCATATGCTTAACCTCAAATGAGTTTATTCTGCAGCCAATGGATTGAGTCATAAAGCTTTGCTAAATCTAACTTTGCCCAATAAATTATATTCAGCAGAGAAAGGACTTGCTCAGTTCTGGCTCTGTGTAATGAACTAAGACTCACTGTGGCACAAAAGCAGAAAACCACCAATCCCACATTTAATTTTTATCATGATGCTGAACTTAGTCTTCTCTAAGCATAAGAGGACATATTGTGTGGCACAGCTGGTGCAAAAATAATGTCTTCAGCAATACTGATAATGAGATTCATAACTTTAACCTTATTATATAATGTATGAAGGTCAATTAAGAACCTGAACAGAAAATGGAACAAAGAAATAAAAACCAATGGAAATATACAATTTTCCATCCTTGGAATGAAAAGATGTGGTTTTGTTAAGATACTTAAGCTACTAATTAATACTTTAGCCAATATATTTAACCTATCCTCTCATAACAGTACTCAATAACAGTACTCATTAAAAGATTGCAAAAATGGAAGAATTACTACAGGGAAGAATAAATGAAATTATAAACATGGGAATTATTAACAAAATTAGATCCAGCTTTGTTAAATGTGGACTAATATATCATTCACACAAAGGCATGAAGTGCCACAGGGGAAGGTTGAAATGGAAAAAATAACCCCAATATAAAAAGTGTCATTCTCTAAGACTGAAATGTGAGCAAACCAGACCACTGCAGCTGATTTGGAGGTTCTGTGCAGTTTTTCTTTTGTGTGGCTCTGATTAAAGTGGAATTTTAGGCTTTGATTGAATACTAGTTGCATTTTGGGTAACTGCAGTATTCAAGGACTTTTCTAGAGTACTTCACATCCTTGGTATATCTCTAAACACACTAAATAAAATCTGGTGTACAAATTCCCAGCCTAAAGGATTTCATATGTCTGCACAGCTCAGTACAGTACTGTACTCAGAATGCTTCCAAGGTCAGGTCTGGGTGTTATGGGAATATCTGGAAGTTAACAGCATGTTACAACAGCTTGACTGTTTCAAGCCTAAGCTTGGTATTCACCAAACTGGTATTCACCAGTGCTCATCTCTGAAACATTCCTTCCTGAATTTCTAATTTGCCATCAGCAGAGCTACAAGAAGCTCAAACCTCCCCATCCAGTGTTACCTCTGATTCCTAATCTTAGACAGGCTCATTTTTGGTCACTGAAGAAACTACAGCCATCACCTTCTTCAGGCTTGTGTCAGAGGACTCCACCCTGAGCCATCCCAAGTGAATGTGTGACATTTGCTCTCCCCAGCCATGCCTGGGGTGCTCTGCCATGGTTCAGCAAGCCCCAGCTAACTTCAGTTCATGCAAGGCAGGGCAGCTGGAAGCTCTCAAAGGTTGCTGGTGACCAGGTGCTGTCCCCACTCTGTGTGGTGGCCTCAGGCAGAAGGCTGCATGTACATGAGCTGTAATAACTCTCACAACCATAGCACCTCCTGCAGTACTGAAATATCTTTTTACAAATTAGGCAGAGTTCAGGAAAAGACTATGAAAGAAAAAAATCCCGTTGTATTCAAGGAAACAAGGGAGTACTCACCCCCACCAAGTGCATCTCCTAAATGTAGATCATTGTCTAAAAAGGAATAGGAGGAAGATGTAGAAAAGTGAGTTACACACAATTCTTGAGGGAAATGTAATATTATTTTCATTAGAACGTGTACAACTGCATGTTCGACAAGCACCTTTTTCAAGTCAGTGCCACAAATTCGAATAACTTATCACACTTTTTCTTGAAAACTCTTATAGAGTCTAACATTTTTCCCACACACTAATTGACAAATAGCACAGTATTTTCTATTCAAAATACAAAGGTTTTTTTCCTGTTTTAAATGATCAAGATCAATACCTCTTTAATATACCTTCAAGTACGAAAATAAAATTAGTTATGTTATACTAATACTAATTTTTAAAATATACTTAATTATTAACATTTATGTCTGTGGTTAAAATTTGTATATGTATGTTTGGCTTGAATGTAATTTATTGAACTAGGAAAACTGAATATCCATTTCAAGAGCAAATACTAGGGAGCAATAAACCTACTTGGGGAGATACTGAATCAAATATCAATGTAAGGGTCAGGATGACCCCTTGCTTCAGGCAATCATATGCACCTGTCTGAGGTTGGGAGACAGTCTGTTTTTATTTCCTTGAGCTATGAAGGTTTTTAGATAGAATTAAATGTCTGTATGCAAAAGTTACCCAGTAAATCACCAGGCTGTGACCATTGCCCAGCACCGTACAGATGTCCCGCTGTACCTGGGATGGAATCTTTCCATGCAATAAACAATTTGTCCATGAGCCGTAGATGGGTAAGGAGGAACTCTGTTTCTAACATGCAGGTGTGGATATGAGTGAATGGGTGGTATTTTAAGGTGTGTATGGAATGATGGTGAGTTCTGAAAGAACTACATTAGATGGATGTTTTAACTCCAAGAATCCCTTTCTCGATGCTTATATGCATGGAGTGGTACAGCGAATCAGAACAAAAGGGATAGCAAAACCTATCTAAATTTTTGTAACAGTGTTTGTTGCCACAGACAATTAGATAGATCCTCAATTAAACAATTTTTTTTTTCATTACAGACATGTCAGAATTCCTGAAACACAGGAAAATCACCATGCAGAAATCTATTTTCTTCTGTTCTTTATACCTAGGAGGATTGGGAAGCTGCTTTAGCACAGTATCTAGTCTCATTTGAGAGAATTACTCATTTCTGAGTAACAACTCAGAAATGCTTTGATGTCATCAGGAAATCTGGCAGGAAAATAAACAAATTCATAATACTTGTACCTGACATGTACTTGTCAGGTGTAGGTCCTCCCTGTGTCTGCCTAGCAGAGAGTTGCATTTCATAAATACTTTTACCTGTCAAATGTTAACAATGTAAGAAGCAATAAATTGAAAACTGGATTCAATTTATTATTGACATGAAGAATTCAGGTAAAATGCAAGTTCTGCTCTGAAGGGTTAATGTAGAGATTTGTTACAGAAATGCTAAGGTTGATAAGAATGAAATAAAAATGGAAATGTGTTTGTCTATCGGGACCAGAAAAAACAGCAAAATGTTAAAAAAACAGACTAAAGGTCACTGTTCCCAGCAGTAAAACTGAGGATTGTTGTTTCTGTCAAAATCAGCAGGCCTATGCTCTGATGACAGCACAGATGACTTGTCATTTGTGAAAAGCAGAAAGGCATTCTAACACCAAAGGTTGCAGCATATCACTACTTTTCTGATCATCCACCCAGAAAATAAGTCTGTGCACACAGCCTGTGAACTCCAAACAAGTGAAAAAAAATATAGTGGGCAGCAACCTGACCAAGGGTTCAGAGGCACTGGAGTGAGGAATATTATGAGGCAAAGGACCTCTATAATACCTGATTATTCCTAAAGGATATAAAAGATCTGTGGATTCTACTTGTCATTTCTGATCAAGAAGAAGCACAGAGACAGGATAAGAGCTCAGTAGCTGGCAAGCTTTGTCTCATGTTGCCCACAATGCTCACCAGACCACCTGAGCACACACATCTTGGTGCTCCTGAGCAGGTGGGTGTGAGAGTATGGCTGAATTAAACAGAATGCAGGAACAAGGTCAGTGGGTATATATCAACTTACACATTGAGATTCTGTAAATAAGCATTACTTCCATGAACTGTTGTGATGAATTTTGCTACACTAGGGAGGTGCCTACAGGAGAGCTTTAACTCAGGCAGAGGTGCATGGGATGCCCAGAGGACATTGCCTGTAATTGGCCTCAGCTGTGTAGGGGGATAGACTGTAAGAAAATAAAGACAGTGTAGAAAGTAATCTTACCCCTAAGGAGTTGCAGCTGGGCCAATTATCAAAGATTAGGAACAGGCCTGACTTTAACAGGCCACAGCTGTAACCAGTGTGAAGAAGAGTGCTATAAAGGAGTGGGGTGGCTGGTGGAGTGGGGAACTGGAGTCAGTTGGCTGTTGTGTGAAGAAGAAAGAGTCAGTGCTTGGAGGAGAAGCCCATGAGAAAATGTCAAGAAAGTATGAAACTTTTGTGATAAGGAGACAACAGTATGGAACCCCTGCAATAAGATGACAACACAGCTGAACAAAAATCTCATTGAGCCTCACTTCTGAAAGGGACATCGAGGAAATCCTGAAGTTAAGATGAAGCATTAAGCAGCTGCTAGAATGTACTTTTGTACCATCTTCCTGCTCTTTCCAAACCCAATAACTGATTTTTAACTGCAATCTTGGGTTTTCTAATAACTTTTATTGCTTTTTTAAAACTTTCTGCAGTCATCTGTAGCGCTAAAGGACACTCTGAAATAGTCTGGAAAACATGGAGTTCTTCCTGGCCAAAAATTAGTGAAGTGGATTTGGTTAGGGCAGATATTAATCAGATGTTCATATCTCTAACAGATTTAGAAGTCCCTAAAAATAAAAATTCCTTTCACCTGACTGAGGCAGCTTGAGTACAGACACTGGCACCCTAAGCATGACCAAGGATAAGGTATTTTAGGGCACAATTCAAGTAACTTGAAACATTTACATTAGGATATGAACAAATCCACACTTAGGGCAATATTTTAAAATAGACACTTCTAATCTAGGCCAGACACAAATTTTGTTTATCAAATGAAATGGAAAGGAAGAATGCAGCCATTAAAGTATACAATGGCTATCACTTTCACAAAACACTGCCCCTGTTTGTTCAAAGAGGGAGCCAGAGAATTGTGTGGAAAATGTAACTACTTTCATGCACCTAAAATCTTATTTCAAAGTTTGTGCAGAAAAAGACCTGAAGTTGATGTTTTGTTTTTTTTTAATCTAGCATTTTCCAAGCATTTTGTTTGACAGACAGAAAATTATTCCAGTGCAGTTTAGGTAAAAAAAAAAAAAAATCTATGCCATCATAAATTGTTCCATCACAAATGCAATTTAGTTCCTGTTTGGAATTTGGATTTTTTCAATGTTAACAAGTGTTCATTGGAATTCATTGTTTGGCATTCTCAGGACTACAGCTCTCCACTGTTCAGAGCCTTTTCTTCTTCCTGACACAGGTGGTTGTATCAATCAATAGTAGATAATATGAATTAAATACATGGTGAGAAAAAAGAATAGCTCCAACTTTGTTCTGATTCCTTTCCAACTCTGTTATCAAGTGTCATGAATAAATATATAAAAAATAAAGATAATAGAGAAAAAAAGTAGAGGAACAGTTAGCCAATTTTAGAAACAGGTACCCATTGTTATACTCCCCAGGGGGTTCAGAGCCATCTAGAAAAGTGTGAAGAAGGTCTTCAGGAAATAAAATACCATCACTAGCCAGCCATGCTTGATTGCCTCACTGGAAGCAGTAAAGACACATAATTGGTAATTGTCAAAAGAGCTTATTTTACTTTAAGAAGACAGCTGTTAATCACACATTATCTCAGCTAAAGCACAGCAGCAGATATGATAAAGAACCTCATGTGAAAGTTTCCTACATGTACAAAATCAGTTTTATGACCCATTATTTATTACTCACTGTACACAGGTCTTGTCGGTCTTCTGATCACTGTGGGTTTCCTGGTAATGATGTCATCTGTTGAACACAATGACATGCCAATAGACATTAACAGCTCCAACTAACAAAAGCAGGTATGTGCAAATGTAGAGAGCTGCTTTCAATACATCTTTATGCATCACAGCAGAAGCCAAAAATGAAGGAATATGTTTTCAAATCTAGTTTTTTGTTGGTTTGTTTTAAAGAAGATTTTTATTTCATGATAGAAACATTGAAACCTAGCATTCTTCAGTTCTGTGTACCTTTAACAGAAGTAGGAGCCACTTCATATTCAATTCCTCAAGGAAAAATACTTAAGATTTACTATTAGATGTAAATGCCATAGTAAAATAAGGATAGAAAATTTACATACCAGGGTGATCAAGGGCATCAGCTAAATCAAAATCATCTTGACCTAGAAGAAATGTGACAGAAGACACTAAGTCAGCAGGCAGGTTTCCATCACCTCCAGACCTGGAGGGCTCAGTACAGAAGCAGAACACCCGTAAGAGGCAAAAGAAAGACCCATCCAAGCTGTCAGCTGTCATTCCTGCACAGCATAGTCCTGAATGACTGTGAGAGATGGGCTCATTTAATCCAAGGAAGTTATTTGTTCAGGTAGGCCAAAGAGGCTGCTCTCTCCTGTTATCATATTCAGCTGCTGTACAAACAGCCCTTTGAAGAACACAGGTTGCCAGCCAGAGGGCACAGGACTATTGCCAGGAGACAGCTGAAAGTAGCATTCAGCATAGTACTTGTGAACCAAAATCATTAGGTGAGAATTTTTAATATCTTCATTAATACATAACATATATATCTTTATATATGTTATGTATATAAAAATATATATTACATATATAATATAGAAATGTATAATATATATGTATGTATATATGCATTTTTATATGTATATATAATATACATATAATATAAAAATATATATATTATAAATTCATTAATATATAACATATATATATTAATAATTTTTGATATCTTCATTATTATTTTATTGGCAAGCAACTTTACTGTCAAGCTTTGTGATCACTTGCAATACAAATCAGCTTTGTTTTTTTAATTCTCACTGCAACATGGGCCATAAGTAAAATATATTAAGATGTGTTTATCCAACTTATTTTCCTCTGTAAATGAAAAAAGCTGAAAAGGGAAAAAAAAATTCTTTCCGTTCTCTGTTAGGTGACAACAATATCTTTGAATGTCACAGCAGAGTAATTAGCATCTGTACTTTTGAAGTTGGCAGACAAAGAAAACTGGGGAATATTTTAAATATATTAACTGTTTTTAACTCTGCAATCTGCCTCTTTCCTTGTAATATACAGGCTTCATGAAACACATGTTTGGTGAACATGTATTCACCGGTTTTCATCCAGGGTGGTGCATCATCCTTGTGTTTGCATTCCAAACATAAGAAGAGTTTACACAAACCCACAAAAAGTCATGACATGCTATGACTTCCCTCCCACAGAAATGCATTACTGTGCTCTATTGAGTAAGCTTCAAGCTGCACTTGATCTGCATATGTTTATTATCCCTTCTAAAAGGCTTAATACCTAACTGTTCATTAAGGAGTTTTTCTTGGCAAGTCTTGAACACTTCACAGCAAGAAAGGCATCACTGTTCAAGTGAAGAAGCTGAGGAAGAGAAAGGCTGCCAGAGGTTTGTCAGCACAGCAGTGCTCAGGGTTCAGCTCAGCTCCTTCATCTTGACAGGTCCTGTACATCTTCATGGCATTCTTCTCATTAATCACTGTTCCTGAATAATAGCTCTTGCCTGTGTCAAAGAGCTTCCAGAAAGATTAATTATCAGTGGTGAAACACTGTGTGATCCTCAAATAACAGTCAGGGCAGGAATATAAAGTGGAAATGTTTTGATTCCCACGAGGATTTTAATGTAAGTCTGTGGACTTAATTATAGATGGGGCCTGATGGAAGAGATAAAACAAGGCTGGAATGCAAAGAAGGAATGGCTTCTAAAGCAAAACTGCCCCAGTAAAATGGACTGGGATTGGGTCTTCAGGTGGATAATATTCACGGAATCATAGAACCACAGAATGGTTTGTGTTGGAAAGAACCTTAAAGACCATCTGCTTCCCACTCTCACTGCCATGGGCAGGGACACCTTCCACCAGCCCAGATTGTTCATTGACATATTCAACCCTGAACACTTCCAAAGATGGGGTATCCACAACCTCTCTGGACAGCCTGTTCCAGTGCCTCACCAAACTCACAGTAAAAAGTCTTCCTAAAGTCTAATTTAAAACTACTCTCTTTCAATTTAAAGCCTTTATCAAATCCATAATCTAAGACTCTGACAGGTTGGGACTTTTAAATATTAATCCATTAAATATATAAATACATAAAATAAACAAGTTGTTTCATCAGAAGATATTTTCTGTTTGAGCCCTGAGTACCACCAGCCCTTACTGGCCCTGAGCCTCTGCCCATGGGCTATCAGCCCAGCCATGGGACCCTTTGATCTTGATGCAGACACGCTATGCACAGGCAGACATCCTGGCATTGCCTGGACTTATATGGTCGAATTATATTTTTCTGAAGCATTTCTTCAGTGCCAGCAGTACAAGCAACATAAGCTTGACAGTCCTTTGATTTTGACCTCTGGCAAAATCCTCATTTTTGATCAGCATCCTGAGTATTGGAGGAGGTTGTCTGACCCAAACCCCATTGCCTCAGGATACCACAATCAATGGCTAAAACCTTTTCTTGTTGGAGTGAGTTATCAGGAATAATTTTGTAACCATAATCAGAATAAGAGTCAGGAGAAATAATTTTGTAATAACAAAGCTGGCCAAACCAGCTTCTTTTTACAGGTCATGACAAGCAGGAACTAACAATATGGAAAGCAACTACTGAGGTCCTAATGCTGCAAAGAGAATGTGACAAAATCATTTTGTGAAGGAAGACTGTGGAAAACTTTCAGGTAGAATATTTCTTTGAAGTTAGGGAAAAACAAAAAAAGAAGGTGGCAACTAATCCGATTATGAAATTCAAGCACGACCATCCAGATGCTTTCAATTTCATGAGAACTAAAGCAAAACAACAGACTGAAGCATTTACTGATACCTGCCCTTCTTCTGGACAATACCACACTTCCCTCTCCTATTGTTACATCTGTTCGCCTATGGAAAAAGTGTGAAAAGGCAAAAGGTCCTGCTTTCAGACTTTGAGTGAGAAACAGAAGAAAGCTACAGAAATTCTAAGAAGAGAAAAAAGAAGACTGAAAATCTCCTTCAACAATTATTCAGATTGATTTTTTAAAAAATTATTTCTAATGATTAACCAAGCAATAAAAAGAAAAGGACATCAACACAGAATGGCTGCCTGGGAGTAAGACAGGAGTCCACAGTGAAATCTCTTTGACTATGTAAACATAAACCTTGGCAGATGGGCAGTTTGGATGAGGACATCTGTGCAGCATGGTAAATTATACTGCAATAAACCTAAAGACTGCTTGGATTTCAATGCCAGCTTCCTCTGATAATCACATCAAAAAATGACCAGAAGGAGTAAGATTTTGTGGAGAATTTTAAATGCTAATTACCATTTGTGAGACTGTACCTTGACATTTTTAAGAACCTAATTTAAGGAGGATAGTTGGTTAAATAGCTGAACAGCTCAGACCATGGTCAGTCTGAAAACAAAACCACATTAGAGCTTCAGAAAATATTTAACTCAATAGGAGCTGCAGTCACTTCAGAGAACTCTGAAGATAACCGACAAAAGAAATAAATTAGTGAAGCTCTCCACAAAAAAAACCAGACTGAAATAAATTAATTTTCCACAATTTTTTTTTTTAATCCGCTTCCATAATAATAGAGTTAGAAATATACTGATGATAACAAGAATGAAAGAAATTTTAGTGGGGCAGAAAGAGCTTTGTTTCACTGGGTTTTTTTAATTGGTTGAGTTTTGTGTTTGTTGCTGCTGTCTTTGTTGTTTGTTTTAATCTGGATAAAGTTGTGAAGAGATTTAGCCGTGCAGGTGGTATTATCTCAGAGTTATCTCTGCTATTCCTGCTTTTTGGCTAGTATGCTATTTCTTGGCATTACTTCTAACCTTTCTTCTGGGAGTATCCCTGTTTTGACAAAGAAATAAAATTACTGTAATAATGTTTTTTTGTGGGTGGTCCTCAATGACTTATAACAGAGAATTTGAGAAAATGCTTGCAAACTCATGTCCTCAGGCACATCTGCATTTAGTGTTCACAAATTTTGAATATTAGTTTTCTGAAGATGTGACCCAAATATCCAGTCACTAAAATGCAGACAGTAGTATCTTTTGCCTGTGGTTTAGTTTGTTATCTAAATGTTGAGGGGATTCACCACCCTTTAACCACATATCTGTTTGATCACAAGGGTCTGAGGTCCCAGAGCTTTTGAGTTGAGTTTATGAGGAACAAGACTGGATTCTGCAAGTGAGTGTTACCAGTTTGTCATGACAACAGCAGTTAAATTTTCTGACAAAAGGCTACCACATCTCTCTACAATTTTCAATCTCTAACTGAACACATCTTGTGGCCCTTACTATGATGCAGATTTAAATAAGGCAGAAATGAATATTTCTAAGTGAGGATCAGGTTATGTGACAAATGAAACTAACTTCTCAGGCTTTTAATATGCATTGTCTAGTATTAAAAAGGAAGCTAAAATCCATGACAAAAGGTGTTTGAATGTGTTTGTACACGTTTCTGGACACACAACTAAAATGCATTTATGTGCATTGTGTTGGATTAATAATTTTGTCATTAAGATGATTAAATTGTTTTTTGGTGCATTGCTAGAAGTCATATGTTTGGGATGAATTTATGTGTGTGACAAATAAATTAGAAGCAACTAACTTCTAATTCTGAGCAAGATAGGGAAAATAAATTGATTTTACAGTATTTAAAGATTTGAACAAGTATGATTTCTTCAGTGTAATTAAATAGGAATTGTTCCATGAATACAATGTGCTTAAAACATTATGAAGCTGAAAGAGACTGAGAAAGATATCTATGCCTTAAAAATGAGAATGAAAATTAAAGGGAAAATTAAATTAAATAAAAGGGAACAATATGTTACCAAAATCACTCATTAAACTCATTTTATGGGTTTTTCTAGCTGAAATTGTAAGTCATTCTTTTCACAGACCTTTTCTTATTATAATACAATCTAGAAACCTATTTACTTCATAATGAGAAAATAGTATGTATTTTCCCTTGCATGGGACTTGGAACATACCCATGTAGTGTTCCAACTTTGTTCAGGAAGCAATTATGTTTGTTTAAAAGAAATTACTCATTTCTGGGAGAACACACAGGTTTGCACCCCAGAGTGGACACTGTGGACAAAATCTCAATGAGCAGGTACTATTTCTTTCATGCAATAGCCCCATGATCCATATTTCCTGATGATGTTACTGTAGCTTGTTTTTCCTTCAAGGACCTTTAGTTTCATAAACAACGATTGCCATTACAACCCCTTGATGCTGGGGTGGAAAATGAGTATGCTTTAAAATCTATAATTAAGATCCAA